ATAAATCCTCCATTATTATGTTTCTGTCAACATCTATGTGTTTTACCAACTCTCCACTTATAAACTACATTATTTCTATCTTTACTTAATGTTGGTCTTTTAATGGATGTCTGTTTTACCCAAAGAAACAAGATTTTTAGTCTCTTTAGGAATGTTACTATCCATATGTTGGGAATACACCACCAGGGAAGATCCTGGTGGCTACTTTACAGTATGTGCTGTTTCTTTTTTTAATCTTCCTAAAATGAGAAATTACTATAAATTATGGACCTTATGCCCTTTGTGTTTTGTTTTGTTATAAATAGCAAACACCACAAATGTTACGTCCTTATTGCTGGCTGGGCACAGTTCATGCCAATAGTCCCAGCTACTTGAGAGGCTGAGGCAAGAGGATCATTTGAGCCTAGGAATTTCAGGTAACAGTAAACTGTGATCACACCTCTGCACTTTAGCCTGTAGGACAGAGCTAGACCCTGTCTGAAATGAACAAACACACAGAAAAGTCTTTATTGCTAAGAAAGTATCCCACTAAGAGAATACGCAAACTATCTATTTGCCACAGATAAATTTAGTGCCAACAGTAAATTTTTCTGAGTTTAGACTATTACCCCCATGCCTCTTTTCTCCCTCCACCTCTTTAGAAACCAGGCAGCTATAGTCACAATCAGCATCAACATTCTTAGCCAGGGCAAGTTAAATTTTTTCTATCATTGTGGTACACATACCACAAAATTTATCGTTAGTAACATCTAATGTATTCACAATGTTGTGCAACCATCACCCACTATCTAGTTCCAAATCTATTGACATTTTTTTCCTAATGGCTTTTTGCTAAAATAAATTAGAACAATTTGCTAAAGGTAAGCAGCTATGAGTTTTGCAGAAGTGGATATTTTAAATCTTTCAGACTCAACAGTTTTTGAAATTCAAACAAACAGCTCTCCATACCCCACTGACCCCCCCCCAAAAAAAATCGCTGTTTGGTCTCTCTGTTGCTCTATGAAAAAAAAAAATCTGTAAGTAATATACAATGTAATATATTACTTGATAAAATAATTGAGATTCACTTGACTTGGGAGGACCAGGCAGCAAAGTGGTTTCCAGTTCCTGGCATTTGTTGCTGGAACTATAACAAACCTGAATGAGACACAGGAGACCCAAGACCTTGGCACATTTTCACCTACACCAAGTCACACCATTAAACCTCAGTTAGGAAATATCAATGACTTCCAAAAAGTGGATTGGAGTTTAACATATTACCAGCCGTCAGCACCTCAGGAGCTAAACTGAATGGCCCGGGAGTTGAGATATGAAAGGTAAAGGAAGAATCACCTGGGCCTCCCTCCACATCATTGGAACATGTCCTCTCAACAGAATAAAACAGAACGGTAAAAACAGGTTTGCTATGGTTGCTGAAGAAATAGTGACAGTGCAATCATAAAATTCTAGAGGTATAACGCTGATGTCTCAAAGACTACTACTCTGTCTACTCCTGCACTTTATAATCTAATCCAGATGTTTTGAGTTTTCCCCAAATAATTTATTTCAGAGAAAGATGTTTTGGTCCCAGGTCTTTGGCATGCCTTTGATCCTAGGTAAATTATTTCTACCTATTTTTTCTCAATTTTTACAAATGTTGTTTTCACAAAATTCTATATAACATAGAAAATGGTAATGATTTTTAAAAAGTGAAATTCAATGTTTCAAAAATGCACTTATGTAACTCCTATAACCCAGTGACTCTTTATTTATTTTTTTTTAATTTATTTATTTATTTATTGCAGTTTTTTGGCCCCACCACCTCCAGCACGTGGGGCTGGCGCCCTACTCCTTTGAGCCACAGGCACTGCCCGACCCAATGACTCTTTGAGAAATTATTTGGGAAACATCACTAGCCCAATGGGGTTCATCGGTCAACATAGAAAGACAGTGTCTTTCTAGATACAGAGGAAAATGTGAGGCCTCCACACTGGTGGGTTTTCTGGACTAACACCAAAAAAAGAAAGAAGGAAAATTCATGAATTCAAAAAATGTTCCCCAAACTTGTTAGAGTTCTTATTAGAATAAAAATCCAACCAGTTTCAAAATAAATTAAACCTTCTGAAGTTTCACACTGACTCTTAATGGTTTGTGTATTTCAGGCTCACAGAAAACCCAATGGCAAAACCAATCAAGATGGTCATAAACATAGACACAAGCTGAAACTAGACATCTCCACACTTCCCGACCAGGATGCTGACTTCTCACCATGACTGGCCTCTTGCCCTGAACTGATTGCTGAACTTGGCAGATAAACAAACACACACTCTAAGTAGCCAGGTGTCCCTGTCCAAATCAGTCCCAATTTAGCAAATAAAAGCAATCACCTGGCCCTCGTCACATCCCCCAAGCAGGGCAATTCCACTGTGTGTGTTAAGGTCGCACAGACAGGTTAACATAATCACCGCAGAACGCAGAGCAAATAAAGTCGGAGCCTTCCTGCAACCTGCGCCAGGCAGCTGCCTTACTCAGACGAGCAGACAGGCCTGTCTCCACGCCACCCCGGGGAAGCCTGCTCAGGGCTTCTGTTCCAGACTTCAGAGCCTCACTGCCCTTGGCTTCCTCCGCCTCAGTACTACTTGCTTAGACAACAGGACAGCAGGGGTGGTCTGATCCCACGGCAAGCCAGCTCAGTCTATCTCAAGAACACAAAAGCCACCCCAGGAGCCAGAGCCCCCTTCCTGCCCACTGCACAGCAAGGCAGCAGCTCGCACATCGCGAGGCCGGCAGACCAGCAGGCCCCACTGAAATCCTCCTCGCAGATGGCTGCTCCGTGGCCTGGGGACCTCTCCGCAGCCCTGCGCTGGGAGGCGAGCAGAGGGCGGGAGCGCAGTATTCACTCGCATTCTCCTTTCCCTCAAGCACCTGGTCTGCTGGCATAAGCTTTAGAGTATTCATTTGAGAGGCTTCCTTGACTTAAAGAGCTCAGGAAAAGGTGAATGAAAAGTAGATCACCTGGTTTCTAGGCAGAGCCCTGGCCCACGTCCCATAACACCTGATGGTGAATATTCCAAAGCCCAAATATAAAGCACAAGGCTGCAGTCCTGGCCTCAGAACAAAGCGTCAGACCGTGCCCACGCCCCGGGGAAACACATCGTCGGCCACAGGCACCTAGCGGCAGAGCTGCGGATCTGCAGGGAGGACAAGGCTATTGCTAAAGGGTAAAACGTGGGCCTAAACTGTGGAGCAGGGGCTCTGGCCTTCTTCCAGTGCAACATATTAAAACCAATATCAGGGGTGGTGCAGCAGGAATGACTCGCTCTCCTGACAAATAGCCACCCAAACAGTTGGCAAGCTGCCCTGCTCCACCCATCCTGGTCATCTTGCCACAAATGTAAGCATCTGGCACATTCATCATCTTCTCTGGGGCATGAATGAATGCTCAGGCTGCAGATAATTTAGCAGGAATATGTGTGTGTATTATCATGCAGATAAGACAATTATTTCATAATAGAAATGGAACCCGAACTGTCTTTGCCTGACTTTTGATCCCGCCAGCACTGCAGAAAAACATTCCCTGATGTGTCAGATAGTGAGGAAGGGAAAGCACAGAAGGACAGAGAGATTACAGGCAACTCTGTGCGCTGGCTAACACGTGCTGTGAGCTCAGCCCTTTCTGGGGGATATCTGATTTCCCAGGGAAAAGGGAAAGGCAAAGGAGAGACAAAGAGGTCTCCGGCCTGTATGCACTGTTTTCATCCAGTTTGTAACTGACAAATAAACATAATCATACACTGTAATGTAAATAGGTCAAAAACACAGGAACAGACCAAATGCTATTAAATGGTCAGAAAAAGGGAGAAAGAGGAAGAGAGAGAGAGAGAAAATAAATGAAAGAAAACTGTAAAACTGACTTTCATTATGGTACTATTGTTACATGGGCAACTTTCTTTCAAATCAGATCAGGTTACGATGCCTCATTCCATTTCATGATAAATTTACACGTAGGTAGACGTAGGTTAAGATAGAAGATTTTCACTTTACATTTTAAACTCAACAAGAAGAGGGACACTGAATTCCTTATTTAATTCTGTAGCATCAAACTCGTGGTAGAAAAACTAACTGTAACTTTGCTCATCTATTTGGACAGGACTTGAAGGAAGGAAGGACGTTGAATGGGATGTATGAGAAAAAGTTTGTCTGAGCTTCCAACAGTGAGCTGTAAGGGAGGAGGGAGAGGGAGCACTCTGTGACCATCTGCTTGCCCAGCCACACTGCCCCAGGGCAGGAGGCCCTGTGGGTGCAGATGGAGAAGGGTGAATGAGAGCTTTGAGGTAACTGGTGCCCAAGCAGTCATTCGTATGTATGGGACAGTTATAAATTAGGCATTTAAAACTCAGGAAATACATGTACTTGCATCATACCTAGAGTAGTTTCAATCCTAACTTAAGAGGATCCATGGAAAAGGTATTTCATTTTAATTTGGACCCACTTCGTGTGCATAAGGAAGTGTACTGACCTTTTTAGCTCAACTCCGATTCTCCCCTTTTAGCCTTTTGCAGATGTCAGACCTTTGTCAACACTGGAGGGTGCTTACGCATTTTTATCCAGATAAACTTAGGGGCATGTGACTGATCTGTCATAATTCTTTTGAACTTTTGGTCCTGTTTTGGATCAACCCATTGCTTTTTCAGCTGTAGAGAAATGAATGGCCTCTGGGGACAATGATCTCCACACACCTCTTTCATTTGCCACTGACTGCTATGTGAAAATAGCCACCTGCCACTGTCTGGCATCAATCGTCCCATTCCCTCCGGTAGTGCATGGTGCCTCCTGTCCTCAAGCTTCAGGACAGCTGGAGAGTCCTTCCCCACAACTGGGGTCAGTGATGACGTGTTGCCTTTCAAAGAGGTGTAAGTAAAGATTAGCATGATGGCAGAAACTGTGCTTGTCCACTTGAACAAGAGGAAAAAGAAACAGAAAAGCATTTGGGCGGGGGAGATTATTTTCTATTTCAGAGCTTGCTTTGAGAGCACATATACTAAAATTGGAGCGATATAGAGAAGACCAGCATGGCCCCTGCATGAGGATGACATGCAATGATAGCAAAAAAGATGATCTGATGATTTTGTGTTTCAAAGGTGTGATTCTCTGAGATCAGATAGGAGTCTTCTTTGTCAGCCAAGCTGGGAATGATTTTTCCTTTCCCTGAACTCTTACAGTATTTATTCTTTTAAATGCCTATTAAGTGTCAGCCACATTACATACATATGGGAATCTTTTTTTTACAAACAAACCTGCAAAGTAATTATTATTATCTGCACAATCCCCCCCACACACACACCTCATAACACGACCATCATTTTAGAGATGGAAAAACAAAGGTAAAGTAAGCTAGATGATTTGGTAAGCAGAACAGTTTAAGTTCAAATCCTGGCCAAGATAAGACCAAAGATCCTACTGTGTATTTATTATTAATTATAAACTTTTATAACTAATCCTGTATTAGATCATTGGTTTGTGAAGGGCAAACTCTTTGCTGAATAATGTTTATCTCCTTAGGAATAGTAAAACAGTGTGTATTGCCCAGCAAACACTCAGTAAGTGGGTGATGAACAGTTACAGAAACAGCCAAGGAATGAGTGAATGAATAAAAAGATGCTGTGAAGGATTGCTGCCCACTTTTGAAAAGATGAGTCTCAACTGTGGGTTTGTTGGTTTCTATACAAACATATCTTTATGATAAGTGTGTTAAAGACACAGTGATGGTTTTAGAAGTCATCAGAAAAAGCCAAGGAGAGGAAATCTGGCAGCCTTGTGGTTTACATGGGCCTGAAACTACTATCATTTTGTGCCACTGAATACGGTAATTTCCACAAGCACAGAAATTGTAAGCACATGCAACATAGATAAGTGTTCTAGTATTCAAATAGATTGTAAAATGTTTTCTTCCTGATGAGATTTAGAAGTAAGGATATGTATTCGAGTCTTCCTAAACTTGGCACACATTTAATTAGCAAATGCACTGAAACCCACAAGGAGTTCAGTAAGGAACTTTTCCTACAGAACCGAAACCTAACCACATATAGCCACTCCCATTCCTTATCATAAATATAATAAACATAAAAATCAAACAAAAGGAACTCAACACAGGAGAAGTGCTAAACATTGGTACTATAATACTGTAAATAAATGATAGCCAAACACCAAAAAGAAAAAATTATAGGCTTCAGTGGAGGAAAGGCTTATCATTTTACTGCATTAGGTAAGGTTTGTCTTGGATGTATGCTTTATAATAAGAGCATTACCATACCAAACATGCAACCAAGATGGGCCCTTAAAATATATGATGACTTTAAATTAAAGTATAATCATTCAAACATCTCAAGGCAACAGAAATAACAGAGAGACATAGGCAAGTATCAGAGGAGTATTTTACTTTTAGTATTTTACACCAGAAATGGATCTGGAAGTCATCCCCACGGGTGAGTGTTGAAGTTGTAGGAGTGGATCCGATTACCAAAGAAAAAAGGCACTAAGGAGAGAAATGGAGAAAGGACAGAGGCCCAGTGAAAAGATCCCCAAGCGGGTATTGAAGGCAGTGGGCAAAGGTGAGAAAAACCAAAGGAAGAGCCAGGAGCGTAGGAGGGGAGCTGGAGGTACAGTCAGGGGTCAGGTGGTGAGGAGCAGCAGTCACTTTGGACTTACAGGCTTAGGGAACTACAAAGAGGTGGTGCCATTTACCAGCCTCTGAGTAAGCCAGCCCCAAATCTTCCCATGACTCAGACACATCCTGAGACATGCTGACCTGTGTCCTCACATGGGTCTCATTCAATAGGCTGAAAGGAAATAATTGTGGCCTGGCATGATGGTTTTGTGTACGTATGAAATTAAATACCAACACTAGTAACATAGGAACCACACCCTCTAAATTGGTTTTCTTTCTTAAAATGGTATCATTATACCTTGAAGGTCAACTGGTAAAGTCAATTTGCATGTATATGTGTATGTGTTTTAAGGAGAATGCCTTATTACCTAACTTTCTATGGTCAGAATAGAAAGTGTCACAAAGATATGTGACTGAGTAGGCAAAGGGCAGCTGAAATTCAATGTAAGCTACCATGGTGTGACAAGGAATGTCCCCATGAGTACCTGTGTCCTAATCCCTAGAACCTGTGCATGGTACTTTTTAGCCAAAGGGACTTTGCAAATGTAATTAAATTAAGTATATTGGGCTGGGAGGTTATCTGATCTAAGTGACCCTAAATGTTTTCACAAGGTCTAAATACGAGGGAGGTTTGACTATAGATGAGGAGGGCAGAAAGGTGAAGACAGAAGCAAAGACAGATGTAAGGAGAAAGCCACAAACCAAGGAAGGCAGGTGACTTCCAGAAACCAGAAAAGTCAAGGAAACCAATTTCACCCTAAAGCCTCCAGAAGGTACCACCACTGGTGACACTTTGACATTAGCCCGGTAAAACTGTTTGCGGACTTCTAGCTTCCAGGCCTGTCACAGAATGAATCTGTGTCATTTTAAGCCACCAAGCTTATGATAATGCTAGAGTGGCAGCAGGAAACGGCTGCACTTTGGGAAGAAACACCGTCATCTCTAGCACAGCACGCGGTTGCATGCTTTTCTCTGGTAAAGACACCTGACACCTGAGTCTTTGTAATGGATGTGCCTCCAGGGTAGGCCTTTCTCTTCACTTCCACTGGGCAGAGCTGGGCTCAAAGAACTGGCCCAATACTTGTTTAGTTTCAGGTTAGAAACAGGATCTTGATTCTGTGGGAAGACGCAGGAAGGTTTGGCAGAGGCCTGGGGACGGTGGTCCTGATGACATCACCTGGCATAGATCAAAGAGAAAGGAGGACACTGTTTTAGACTCAGAAGGGCTCCTTCAGGCCTCTAAATTTGAGGAACAGATCCTCACATCAGCAAGCAGTGAGGTGGAAGACAGGGGAAGATTAGGGAATTCTTGCAGACTTGAGAGAATGTGCTGCTTTATTGCAAAACTTCATCAAAATGCTTGTTGCCCTCAGAAATGATACTGACCAAAAAACAAAACCATGATGTTTTTGCAAAATTATGATATACTCCTCCTAGGAAGAATGACTTTAGCCCTGTAAGCCCTAGTAAACAAGCCTCGACAGAGCTGGTTAACACTCTAGCAGATCCAGAGGGAGAAAGTTAAGGAAAAGAAGAGTAGTGTGTGCTGTATAAGGGACACATACAAAGTACAGAAGGGGTAAAGTCAGCCTCAGAAACCCTGGAGAGGCAGGAGAGTAAGCAGGAGGCAGAGGACAGAGCTCTGAGGACACAGGCATTCAAGGTACAGGCAGAACAGGGACAGCCAAGGACAGAAAAGCCACGGGAGTGTGACGGGTGGTGTCTGAAGGCGCAGGCGCAAGGCTGGAAAAACTGCAGGTGACAAACAGCAGATGTTGACGGTGGCAACAAGGTCACAGTGCTGGAGCAGAACCAGAGAGTTGAACGGTGAGAAGTAAACTGGCCAGAGGAAGCAGAGACTCAGGACAGGGTACGTGAGAAGCAGAGGAAGTCACAAGCCTGTCCACTGAATTAAGATGTCTCCAGTGCTCAAATGTCCTATCGGCCATAAGATGTACCCAAGAAATCCATTACTGTTGAAATCCATTACTCGAGTGTGCAGATGATTTATTTTCGGAAGAAAGCCGTGGGAAAAGTAGTGAGGATTTAATATCACTCTTAATCACTTGATCACTCTGATGTGATTTTTCAAAATGGTAAAAATCAGGGGAGTCAGAGGTGGTACCCTTGTAGTTGCCCATGACTCTGCATTTTATTTATCTTTTTATATTTTTTAAGCTGAATCTTTTCCTTTTTAATTTCAGGTTAACGTGTGGTTACAAACAATCAGGTCACAATATTTGAATTTGTTAGGTAGAGTCCCTCTTGTAGTTGTGTCCTGCACCCAAAAGATGTGCCATACACCCCTACCTTGTGCCCTTTAAGGTGGGAGCACCCCAAAGCCCCCACATTTCCTCCTCGCTCTTCCCCCATCCCCCAACTTGAATTTAAATGAATTTTTCTTTTATGTGGGCATGAATTAGATCATCTGCTGGCTTCACATTAGTATTGAGTACATTGGATATTTGATTTTCCATTCTTGTGATACTTCACTGAGAAGAATGTGTTCCAACTCCATCCATGTTAATACAAAAGATGTAAAGTCACCATCTTTCTTATGTCTGAAGAGTATTCCATGGTACACAGGCACCACAGTTTGTTAATCCATTTCTGAGTTGATGGGCCTTTAGATTGATTCTATATCTTGGTGAATATAAATTGAGCTGCGATAAACAATTGAGTGCAAATGTCTTTATGATAAAAGGATTTTTTTTTCTTCTGGGTAGATGCCTAATAATGGGATTGTGGGGTCAAATGGGAGATCTAATTTGAGTTCTTTGAAGGCGAGAGGATGCAGACGCTGGGAGAGCAGGAAGATGTGACAGGAAGGGGGCTTGGCTTGGAAGACGAACGTGGGTGTAGGTAAATTGCGGTGCAGAGTGGGAAGTTACCAGAAAGCACAGTGATGACCTCAGTGTTCTCCATGACTCATGAGCTGAGGTTGTCTGCTGAGATGAGAGGCCAGGAGTTGAGAATGGGTGTTCAGAGGAATGGTGAGATTATAAATAGTCTACCAACTAATTAGCATCAAGGAATCACATGAGGAGTCACCACACCAGTGATTCTCTCTGCACACACTGGAGGCCTGAGGACAACCCCTTAGTGAGTACCACACCCCCAGCACAGTGTGGGCTCCTGTGTCTGTCACCTGCACAGAGATACACATGATTAATCTGCCTAATTCACAGGCCTTTCCAGCGCCCAAGTCTTAGCTAGATTTAAATTGTTATTAGTTATTGAAGTTGTTATTAGTTCTAAAAAGTGGTAGCTTAACAAAGTATCCCAAGAATGGAAGAAAAAGTATCCAATGTACTCAGCCCTACTATGAAACTAATTTATAGCTTTTATAGGAAAGCTATAACCCAATTTTAACCCAGGAATATGGGGAGAGGGAGAGTAGGAGAGGTGAGAGGATGGGTGGAGGGAAGGTGATTGGTGGGATCACGCCTATGGTCCATCCTAT